AGNGAAAGCCGAAAGAGAGCATCGTAGAAGCCTCCGCGACGCTGCCAAAGCTATACAATTGCCTCAATCGGGTAAGCGCAAAGCGTCAAAACCTCATAAGCCAGCTACAAAGCGTCAAAAGTGTGGTGGTGTTGCTCCAGCTGTGGTGGGAGCCGCAAGGGTTGCACGAGCTGCTCCACCGCGTAGTCGACGGCAACGACCGATAACGCCCTCCAAAAAAATTTCTAAATAAGCCAAAACTTTCGTAGGCCTGTATATAGTATAATCCTAGCTTTGCGCAATTTTATTACGATTTGTGGTGGCTCTACAGCCTCATCTTGTTGACTATATTGAGTTGTTGGGGGTGCTCAACTGGCGATGGTGCTCATCTGGTGCACGGGCACTGTAAGACTGTAAGCGAGATGGCAATTCGTCTAGGGTATGTGACCAGTAAGAAACGCACTAAAGGCAGAGGCAAACGCTTTGCAAATTTGTGTCTTTGGTTCTGCGCAGAGGTTATTGGAAAAATAATGGGCCCCGTACCAACGTGTGATCTCGTTTACAAAGAACGTCTTGCCAACAGTTTCGGTGTCTGCAACGCCGATGTCGAGGCGAACGCCGACCTCGAGAGACTCGAAGACGAGCATGCTGTCGGGCCGCGCGCGTAGCGCCTCAAAAACGAAAAGCGCAAACTCAAAGAGATGGGATCGTTGTAGGGGGGGCTCTAGGTCGCTTTCTTGAAACTGCCGTGCTGCTAGTGCTTGGGTGTTCGGGTCAAACGCAGTTTTTGCAACGGCAATTACCTTACCGATTCGACCGCGGATGCCCTTTTCACTCGGTTCAGTCGCGATGAAAACTCGGAACTCGCATTTTGGGAGTGACGGAACGAATTCTTGGTGGAACCAATGTGCTGAAATATCAGCACCGTCTGCGGGTACTTTAGACTGCTTTGGCGTTTTTGGTTGTTTCTTTCCCCGACGCTTGGCTTTCTGCGATGGGGCTTTCAACGCATGCGCTTCTCGGTGACGGGTAAGTTGATGTTGCTCTCCATGCTTCCGCACATAGACGTGTGTAGCGCAGCCACTCTTAGTTCTCTTGTGTACTGTCTGCTTCTCGTTCTCAAGCGAGCATCGGCAATGACCATAACATGTCTTGGGCCGATAGAAGAACCTATCCGGAGATGACTTGGCGGTATCGTCTAAGGCCCGAATGTCTCCTAGCTTGTCTCTCTCCTGCCGCGCTTCGTGCTCATTCGGATAAACGCGGAAGGATGTTGGATGAATGTTTTTTAGCAGGCGTACCGCACTGTAGATTTCGTCAAGGCTCGGATTGATCGGCTCGTTGGTGGTCCAGTGCAGAAACAAAACACTGCGTAGCGGCTCATTGTGTTCATCTGTGCAGGAGCTGTAGAGCAGCTTTCCCGGAAGCTGTTGATCCAGCCAGTCCCATGTATGTCCCTCGACAGAAAACACGTTCTTTGCTTCTGCTTGCGTGGCCAGAAGCGTCACCAGACCCTGATGTATATAGTGGCCTGCATCACTGCTTGAGACGATTGTGTTGCGCAAGGTCATCGAACAGGCTTGTGTTAGCCAGGGATCGTGACCCAGAATTTCGTGATCATTGAAGAAAACCTGAATGGCGAGAGTAGTAGTTTCTTCTAGCGCATTTTCGTCCGGGAAAGTAACCCATATCAGCTTCTGACATGGCTCTGGTGCGTCAAGGGGAAATGGGGGCGCGGATGCTTGTGAAGGTAATCGAAATCGGCCTGCTATGTCGAGACTGCCACGCTGACTCTGAGGAATTTCTGCCTGTTTGCGCCTCTCTTTTTGTCGGATATTCTTTATCTTGAGATGTTCTTCACACAGGTTACTGGGTAATTGGGGCGCCTTGTTACAATTGAGATTGGCACCACAGCCTCCATTACGGCTGCGACCCTTTAGTCGATTGCGATAATTCTCACATTGTTTACCCTTCATTTCGTTCAAACTTTAGAGAGGCTAGGATAGTATGTGAGGCGGGACGTGAGGCGGGACGTGAGGCGGGACGTGAGGCGGGACGTGAGGTGGTGTCAGATTGCAATGGTTGATAAATGGACGTGATAATTGATGATGTTGATGATATTGGTGATTTCTGTTATTCGTTGTCTCTCACTGATCCAACTGATCTGGATCATTTCGGGGCCTGGTGGATCGTGCACGCTGACTAATTACAGAATCTGGGTGTGCTCGAGTTATCTCATACTTGTAAATCAGACCCTTTAAGTTAGCGTGGTCACACGGACCAGGTAAGTGAAGGCAGTTGTCCGCTTGCGCCGAAGGGTCTGAGAAACTTTGGCAGCCCTTTGGTGAGGCTCGCCTGCGCTTTTGGTGGGCAGCTGCGATTTTTCTTCAACACGATATATTACCAACATCCACCTACTACATTCTAAATCTATGCAGCATTAGCTTATTTGACTAATAAATTATTAGTTCTGTCAGGTTTTGAGCCATCAAGTAATAGAAAGAGATAGTCTTGGCGCGATTTTAGGAGGCAATTGTTGGGCGAGTGGACAGGTGGATGAGAAGAGCTTTTTGGACGTCCACCTACCACCACCCACCACCACAACGCCCAAATCTTGGATATTGATATATGAGCCAGATAGTTTTCATATACTGGACTAGCGCGCAGTCTTTTTGGAGCTTGCAGTGGGAGATTTCGATAGTCTTGACGTGGTTTTGGGAGGTGACTTTAGAGCTTCTTACTCGCAACTTCGCAGTAGTGAAAATCAGCTTCTGACTTCAACGCTGTATATTGCCCACACAGAGACGTCTTAGACCAAACCAAGACCGATTACACAGTAATTTAGTATATTTTCTTGCTTTCGAGTCGGGCCTGAAGCTCTTGCGATAAGTAGTGGTGGAGTAATAAGCCACTGTTTTGGTAGACTGAAAAATCCAAATGGTTTTCACCAAAAGGGGTGTCAAACTTTCTCAGACGCTTCGCAGACAGCCGCCCCACCACCTACTTTTATGTAAGCGAGCTCTTGTCGGCTGTCCACGAAGCGTCTGATTTATGAGATAGAGAACAGAGGCCTTCACTGCATTTTCTCAAAAATTTCGCATATAGCCGGTGACTCTTCGTCAAGCTCATTTGGTTATAGTATTCACACTATTGTTATCGTCGCCAGCATTGTTTTCGCGCTCGCGCTTGTTACAGCGCGATTTAGTCGGATCGTGAGTCTATTTCCAGCGCGAAATACTAGTTCTTCCTAGTGGTTTGCATCCATTTTGATAGTGGCTGCAAGTTGGCCACCTGCCGGGGTATCTGCTTTGAGACACTCATCTCTTACCTGTGATCTAGCTACCAAGTACCTACGCGCAAGGGTACCTTCACCTCCACACTTTGTAACGCATAAGTTTGTTCTTTTCGATTTCCCTCCAGTCTTCTTGTGAGCATCCCACTTTTCTGCCACAGACCTCGCATTTACTGAGCTTTTAATTGTTACTTTTCTCTTCAGCGACCATGCCCCAACCATCCCGCCCGTCTGCCTCACCAGCCCCCGCACAATCCCCCATTTCGCCGAGGTTACCACCGAACTACTCTGGAAACCTCTTCGGGAACCGCGACGATCCTGATCCTTGCGCACCACGAAGAGGATGGCAACAGTGGTGATGCGGTAATGTCGCCAGAACCTACACAGTTGGAGCTAACAAGCCAACTGGCCAACTGCGAAACGAAACCAGCAAACCACCCCGGCAGCCGCCAACAGTTATCAAGAAGAGGAAGTCAACGATAGCACATACCGATAAAGGCAGTCAGTCGCGGCTCTGGAACGTTCCTTGACTCTCTACGTTACGGCTGCGCATCATGCCAAAGTTTGGCGCCTTCGCCATCGAACCACGGTAGTTAGCTGCTACTCGTCGACCAATCCGCCTCACGCCTCACGCCTGCTTGCCGCTTGCCGCTTGCCGATATTCGACACTAAGAGAAGGTGTTTCGGGCGGGCGGCTGCCTGATTGCGCAAAACGGCAGCCAGTATCCGACCAGCTGCCCTGTCACGGTGTGTCCTGCTCTATCCATGGCCGAGCATCACAACGTTGCGCGTATGCTAACATTGCTGTGGATCAGAGAACAAGTTTCCATCCGTCCAAGTCCAGAGTGATTATTACCCAGGCTGAACCCGCACGACAGCATCTCGAAACCGCCAAAGCAGGCACATTCTCGCAAAATGAAGCGACGAGCGTCAGATAACGATATCGGGAAGGCACTTGATCGCAGTGAAAGGGACGACGCCGATGCACTGAGCATGTGCATACCAACATGGAAGCCACCGTCGCCAACACCAGCTTTGTCTAGCCAAGCACCGCCCTCTACTGACCAGCAAAGGCTTCAACGTGCCTCTACACACATCTCCACGCATACCTCATCAGATACCTTCCCATACCTCTCACAGCAGTCTTTAGTGTTCATCAGGCGCTGGCTGGACAGTATCGGACCCGACTACGTACTACACACAATGGCCCCAACACCCCGAAGCGTATCGGCTAGCGAGCGCCGCAGCTCCATACGCTATAGACCCGCTGCAGATGCGAATGCACCTAAGACGATTAGTCCGCACGAGTATCGAACAGTGAATCTGGAACGTTCCAGCATCTTCGTTGACGACGAGTTTGAACTGCCGCCCGAGATTGACGAGTATGCACGACGCATTCTTGGCATCACATCGTGGGAAGACCAACTTCCAGTTCCAGATGGACTAGGATTACAGCCAAGTTTTCCCAATATAGCCAAAGAGTTCCTGAATCAGTCGAAAGCTCTCGCTCGCAAGTGCGCGCTCGAGAGCCAGTGGCAGCATAGCCTCTATCAAGTTGTCACCACTCTCGCCAAGCCGTTCGAGGGCGTGATTGAAACAAACAACTCTGAGAAAGGTAAGCTTTCTGCGCAGACCGAAGAACGTGACCGAGTAGAAAGCTGATTCAGTTTTTACAGTGTGGAACCTGCAGCTCAAGCCAAAGCCGGCACCACTGCCGCCAAATCAGGCCCAGACGCAAGCCGGTTCCCCCAGTGTCGATCCCAGTGTTGTCATGGTCACTGACCGCGATTATTCCGCCGGGTCAACAGTCAGCACTGGTGTACGAGGGCCGTACCACATCACTGCACCAAAGCCGGACATCACGCTTGGACTCGCACGGCACGCCTTCACGCCAGAGCATGAGGAGCTGCTTCTCAATTATCAACACCATGGGCTGATCTTGAGCGACCCTCATGAGGCTGTGATGAGGCTGCGTTTTCCATTCATGATTGTAGAATTGAAGGCAGGCGCTACTCTCATCAAAGCGCAAAACCAGGCCGCCGTTGGCGGTGCCTGTATGGTGAAAATATTAGGGGACCTGATCTGCCAAACTAGACGCAACACCGACCTTTGCCAACAAGAGCAAGCGCCGCCATTGGCAGTACCACTGGCACTTTGTTTCTCAATTACAACTGAAGGGCCTGTGCATGAGTTGTGGGTGCATTTTAAGAGCAGAGATGCGTTCTACATGGTCAATCGCAAGATCTGGCGCACTACGATAAGAAAACATGCGGAAGAGCTCGTAAACTGTCTCGGGCGGGTCATCGAGTGGGGCCAAGGAGACTTCAGAGAGCGCATTGCCGAGACACTACATCGGGTGTCGGCTGGGTAGCTGATTGATGCAACGCAGATTTCAGGGAGTGCATCGACGAGACGCTGGATCGAATATGTGACATCCAAGCATGTCAGTGGCTGCGAATAGATGCCCTTGTGTGGCCACGTCGCATGTCTACAGCCTGCTACACCTGAAGCTCTACATAGGTATTCATGTACCGGCGTATACTTTGGTAGTGTCAATTCAGCTCCAACTCACAAGGTCATTCGCACATGAGCAATTGTTCGAGTTTGGGAAGTGGGCAAACCTCCAAGATACTGCTAAGATACATAATCACCAAGAGAAGAGTATAAATAAAGAGTAATAGACCGTGCCTATTATTATTATTATTATTATTCCATTAGAGTCTATCTGCAGTCAGTGACTATGTAAGACTTTGGCCAGAGGCCGTTCTAGGTACAATTTGTTTAAAGTGAGAGTGTTCTCTGTATAGTACTGCTATTGTGCTGCGGTTTAGTCGCTTCTAGCTGCGCTTAAAGCGGACTCCAGTTGCTAAAGAGCAGTTTAGTAAACAGGAAGAGATGTTAGACAGCAGGGCTGTCTTCCAGCGAGCTCTTTTAGGGCTAAGGAAAGTAACTTAAGAAAGTTTGTTAGTTATTATTAGTTTTAGGTAGTGTCTCTCTGTTCTCGCTTATTTTTAGTTATCTTGTTCTTGGCCTAGATGCCAGCCTCTAGTCCCTACTCTAGTTTTAGCAATGAAAGCTAAAGTCGCCTCTCTGCCTTTTGCTAGTGTGGAGGAGTAGTTGGATTGTTAGGTAGTTCTCGCGAAGAGTTGCTTTTAGCGCTTGCCTTTCTGTGTTGTAGTGCCAGCAGTATAGGAGAAGGTGATCTGGTGTCTGTACTCTCCCACAATCGCAGAGGTTTGAGTTTCTCTTTTTTCACTCTCTCTAGGTAGGCGTAAAGTAATCCGTGCCTAGCTTGAGAAGAGAAGAAGGCGCTAAGAAGATTTCCCTTGGTGTACCTCTTGGGGATTT